TTGTATTGTATTGTGTTTTTATGGAAGTAAATGTATGCTGTTTAAAAACCTCGCGATTGCTGAACAAGAAAACGACACTATCGGCAATTATCAAGAGAACCGCCAAATCCGCAGCGGTATGAACTTGGTATGAAATCGTCAAGTGGTAAAAAAAAAGACCTCTATCACCTTTAGAGGGAGACTGAGTCAACAAAATACATATTGTGTAGCCATTTAAGCTGAGCTATGTTTAGGGTGTCTTCTCAAACGTGATCTTTTGTGTGATTTGGATCACAACACTTATCTCTCAAGTGCTGATTGTACAATTCGGTGGTCACTGGTTTTCTACAGCTCCATTGAATGCCGTCCAGTGGGCGATTTGCATTGCCTGCGGTCTGGGCGAATTAATCTGGGGCCAGGTCAGTGGTAAAGTTGCATTTTCAATATATTTGCACAATCCTTTGTTTTCGAAATTTATTAGTTCAAGTAAGAGCACAACTGTTTTTCCAGTTTAGTTAACATCCGCGACAGAACCATAGGAGATTGACAGTTCTTAATAGGATCACCTATGCTTTTAACATTAACAAAACATTACTGCACAATGTATAAACTCTTAGGTTTAACGAACCTTATCTAATACGTTGTCAATCTTGATGAGTTTTTCTATGTAGGCTTTTAGTTCATTGTCCATAAGGTGTTTCAGTTAACCTCCAAATCCTTATCTCCATTGTTTTTGTCTTTTCTTTGGTTTTTTTTTTTATCTTCAACGTTAAAATGGACAAAGAGATGCAGTTCAGACCACATAGCATTTTTTTTTCCAAAACACACTTTGATATCCAAAGGATTTAAGCAGAATCTTATTGCCCACCATTAAGTTCGTTTAGTTTATCACACAGTTTTTCGCTCAGATTATAACAACGATACCGTCGTCAATTCTACCAAAATCATTCCGATTCGGTAAAGGAGAAGTCAAACCAACGTCAATAATGCTTACTGGTGAATATGACGTTCCATCATCGTCATCAATGGTCCCCAAACCCGATGGAGCCACTGCCGAAAAGCGACCAGGCCAAATGCTTTGGCTACTTGGTCTCACTAGACTTCAGACTCAGGTATAAGCACCGTATTTTTTTAGTTATAAGGAAGGTTCTAAAATCGATTCCTCCGAATTTCTTTAGTATTCAAGCACACTTCAGCACTCACAATACTTTTTGGTGTACAGTGGTGACGAAACGTTCAAGAAAATGTTTGCATGAGAAGAGAAACGGTCGATTATTTCGTTCAGCAATATTTGTTCTATATGAAAGAAATCTATGGAAGGCCTATTTATTTATTGTAACCTAGTTTAGTTTTTTATCGATCTGCAGGATTTTGTTCCAAACGTCTTTCTATAGTACTTTTTGGAAAAAGCTTTGAGAGCTTCACGCCTCACTACCGCGATGTCTGAGAGAAGTGTGTTCGATTCCTAAGAAATTATCGACTATTGCTCACATATACGAAAATGACTATTACTCACATATAGGAGAATAGTTGGAAATTTCGGTCACCAATGTACAATATATGCTAACAAACAATTGCACCAAGCATTCTGCATAGGACCATCATCAGTTCGCTGACAATGATCGTATTGTTGTGATGGTATGCATGTTTTTTCCATGCACTGAATTCTTTATAGATTCGAGTGGTCAGGGCGTTCCAGTCTGTTAACGACAGTTCGCATCCAAACTCACTGACAACGTCGACAGCCGACCGACTTCGTGCCAGCTACCGTCGCCTGAAAATCGCTCGAGAGCTCGAACAACAAAAGAGTTCGTGGTTGTGCGCACTGTAGAGCTTTTTTATAGAGTTTAAAGTAAAGGGTTCACATATAGATAGTTAAATGCCAGAGTTATTCACTTTGTCTAGAAACAACGAAGATCTTTGAGCTGTATATCACAACTTGACGAACACCAAGATGAATAACCTCTTCCGTTATCGAACATGATGAAAAGATGGCATAAAGAGAGTGAGAGAGTTTAAACTTGACAATGAAAAATAATTTTATTACCAACTTTTGCTTTAGCTCGGCGTGGATATGGTCTCGTTTTCTCGATAAGCACATACAAAGTTGCTATTATAAAATTCGTTGATAGTACCTAACGTTTCGATGGATTTCGCTTCCTCACGAGCTTGGGAAGTTCAAATTAAATGTTAGAAACAAAACAGCATGTTTGCGGATTCACCGTTTCCTGAGTCTTACACTGAGTACTTCGTGTGGAAACCAATCATACAACGTTCATATAGATCAGTAATGTGGCTCTCTCGTGTAGAAATATCAGTATAAAATATTGGGTGAAATCATACATGATAAAGAAGCATTCTTTCCTGCAGTTCGTTTCTATATCAGTGGAATTAATCTAGAGTGCTTTGAGAGTTTTGCATATTAAGTCTCAGATTCGTTTGCGACGATGGTAACCTCTACTTTAGAATCTTCCGCGTTATATTTCTATGTCCTATGCACGACTGGTGGAGTACCTTATCTACCTCTGCGCTTAACGTCTAGGTGTTTTTTATACGGACAAGGAGTCATCTATCCTTTTTGCCAAGGTGTTCGTTGCCACACGCTTTGAAAAAGAATAGGTACACCGTGTCCGAAACCATGCAATAACCCATTTCCATTATGCGTTTCTACGCCATACATCGTCGGGCAAACGGATACGAACTAGCTGACGTCTCAGGGTGTTTAGTTCTTTTGAACACTCGAAGACGCTACCTATTACGTAACCCCTTGTTTTATTGTCTATGTACAACGCAAAATTTCGTAACATTCCTTAACGGTAGAGACGGTGATTGCATAAGTTCGGGTACAGCCTGTCTGAACTCCTGTAAAGCGCCTGGTGATGAATACGTTGACGAAACGGGTAGACGACTCTCCGTATGAAAACTCCTATTCGGTAAGTTTAAAGTTAAACCAAATGCTCTCTTAGGCGCGCATAGGGCATAAAGGCATAACGGAGAAAATTTTAAAGTAAAGGTCACTATTCTCGCTAGGGATCTAAAACTTCAGCACGTTAAACCCTTGAACCATTCTGGGTAATTCCAAGATTCCAAAAATTAACTGCAAGGAGGAATACCTTGTTATCAGAGGTGATCTCGTGCAATATATCGGTCTGATGTTTCAACGCTAGAGGAGCGCATTGCCCATTCATTTGAGTCTTTTGCGGTTGATCTGCATTTGGAAGACTCAGTGAAAGACTCATAAAAAACGGTTAGTGTGTAAAGAAGCTTTTTTGTTTTTAATGGGAATAAAATTTATGCTTTTGGTTTTCCGTTAAGTTTACAAGGGTACCTGACTAATTACGTTGCAGTCAACTTTGCCTTTCCAGATATGAAGAAAGGGAACCCTCCGAAACGTCAGCTATTATGAGTAACTAATGTATTAACAAGCTCATGTATGCTTATCAAGAAAACAGTACATTGTTGATCAATGCCGAGCTTCACGGAAAGTCGGTAGTGGGAATTGTTGCCTTGGTTCATTGATGAGCACAAGGTTGCTTCAAATCTTTTTGTGGCTAACGTCTTCAGATCCCCTATAATTCGACCCGGTGTGCACAGTAGTTGTTGTTCTTTCCGATTTATGGCTTTATACTTGTTTCATGGAGACAAATCAAGTGAGCTGGAATGCTACACAAATGAACGGGCATCATCCACCAGTGTTGACCCTTTATATAGTACAGACTCATCCATAAATTCGGCTCAGAAAAAGGGGATCACGCGGAAATGTTTGCTTCAATAAGAAAAAATAAAAGCATAGTGAGCGATGAGGTTTTTTCCACTTATCACCGTTTTTGTTCTTTTTTGGCGCGCGAATACTATTTTAGAGCAGACTTCCGCACATTCAGTGCACCTAGTCACAACGTAGCCTCATGAAAATCATGTTTTGGAGATGTAAAACTTAACACTGGAGGTAGAAGTATGAAAAATCTCTACGGATAGAAATAAAATGAAAAAGAAAATAAAAAGGAATCTAAATTACGGATAAGACTTCTTTCTGCACTGCTTTCTAACAAATCCTTTGGTTTTTTTGTGGTTTCGAGTGTTAAGCAATTATCAGAACTTGAGGAAGAAATATTTTTCTTTTCAATTACTTTCATCTTAAATCCTTAACGCTCTTTTCATCCTTTGAAGTTAACGACTTCTTGTGAATGATTCCTTTAAAGTTGAATTATTTGTGCTTTAGGATTTGGTAGCATACGATCCCGTGGACAGATATAGAACGCTGCGCTCACATCGAAGAGTTCCGCCTCAATGACGTTCGCACAAAACATCACACAGCAACATCTAGCTCATTGATGTTTGTGTATTTTTTTCTGTTTCAATGTCGGATCATTCATCGTATTGCTCACGATACATCTTCACTTTCTATTCGGTTCGACGTACCGTCCTCGTGGTGGCGGCGAATTGTCACCGATTCATATAGATTTGCTCAATTCAGATTTCTAATTGCGACCATTTCCAACACTGTACATAGTCGCCGTCGATAAAAATCCGCTCTTAAATATTTATTAATCTGTATGTATGTGTGTATGTACGTGTGTGTGTATATGTACACGTGAGTGAGTGAATGAGCTTATGGCTTTCAACACTGTACTCTTCGTTTCGTTGCTTAGAGCTATACTTCCACCAGACGAGAATCCTTGCGAGATTCGTTATGCAGCCGCTGAGTTACGTTCCATTTTGCCATTGGATGTCTACAATAGCGACTACTGTAGCGTCTGTGCTGTATTGTTTTCTTGTTCAGGCTTTTGTTGTATCTGATCCTTATTTGCTTTGACGCCGGATTCATCAGCGGTTAGGTGTGAGTCAGCCCGTTGTTGAGCTCAAAGCGAACCTGACCGTATTTGCGGTTAGTATGCCATAGGTATGTTCCGTAACACAACGATAGGTTTGTATTTTTATTTTTCAGCACTTTTTTGAAATGCTTGTATTTTTCATTGTCGCCAGTGATTGTTACAATCGACTAAGAAAGCGTAAATTGAATAAAACCTTCGCATAAACACCAAATAAAAAGGAGCAGAACAGGAAACGTACAGCTAATTTCTTAATATCAACGCTCATTAAAATATTTTCTAGCCTTAGAAAACTATAAGTGGGCGTTTCCGTAATCTATCTATTTATATTTAGCAGAAGGGAAAGCGAAGAATCTTAAAATAAATAATATCAAACAAGAGATTTATCGAGGTGAAAAGCAGTGATTTACAACACCCAAGGTATTCTCTCTGTGAAGTGGCGAGCCACCGAAGTATTCCGGCATGTAGGTGTAGAACGAGCTGAACAGGATCAAGAGAGGTGTAGAAAAATCTGAACAAAAGCGCGAAAGATACAGAGCAACCTAAATAGAATCCTAAGCGAAATTGAGAAGACACCACCATATTTTAGAGTATAACAAAATCATAAGAAGAAAATGAATGAAAGCAACATAGCACGCGCCAAATTTATACGTTACCGGGAAAAAACATTCTATGAAAGCTTTCGAAGCGTTGCAGACATTTACAGTGAAATTCTACTTTTCATTCAGAAAACTTCAAGTGTGCCGATTTTACTCCAATATATTCATATGCTTGAAGCGCTAGATGGTTGTTCCTCCATTAGAATGATGCCCTGAAAAGGGTTCTCAAAATTATGCATTCTCTTCTACATCGTCCAGCTTCACGCAATATTAGTATTAAAGTGAGCAATCTTGACCGTATCTGAGGTGTGATCGTTCTTCAAGGCGATTTAAAATACCTAGGCCTTATGTCACCGAGTCTTCTATTCGTGTACATACAACAAGGGCCACATCTTTACAGCCATAAGCCATAAAGGAATCAGGTTGTTACTTGCTCAGTGGGATCAATATTCATGGTCGAGGTTGTGTTGAAAAGCACTTCAACTTAACCAACCTTTCCACTACCACATGTTGTGAGGAACATTTCCCCTTCGATATCATGAACGCTGTTTAACAGACCGAATGATCTATGGAATACTTGATCTTCCCAGATCTCATTATCAGATCTTAAATGAAGAATATTTCGAATGGTTGCAAAATCATGCAGCTCCAGTCTAGAAATTTTGGCAGCTTTACCCTATTCATCCTATCCAGTACTTTCGTATCTATTGGGCTAAGGGGACTGATACCCCATTTTTGCTCCTTGCGGAGAGAAAAACCCTGCGTGCGCTTCGTGGTGGGTTCTTGCCCTTTTTCGGTAAATTTGGAGCTTAATTTTAAAGACAACTCTGTAACACCTCCCACAGTCCACCAATTTACTTGAATACAAGCTTTTCGCTAAATTCCCTTGTGTTATCCATGGAACATGTTACATTGTTTCACGAGTGAACGTTATACCGAAAAGCCGTTCAAATAAACGGTAGAACATCTGAAGGAGGAAAAACAAAAGCTTTGGCTGGAACAGACGGTGAGAAGTATTTGAATCATTTTTTGGGGCTTATGAACTATATAGTGAAAAAAAAGTAGGCTCACTTTCCGAGTTTTCTATTTTAAAGCAAGCGCCTTAAACTTAGACACCACGGATCAAGTTAAAATCATGCTCCGCATTATTTAATGGGCTAAAGAAATGGTTGTACTAAAATTGCCTTGTTAAACGAAAGTGAAAAAGAATATTGCGTATTTGAGAACTACGTCGGCTATCAAGGATTACCTACATCAGACATCGATAACCAAATAATTAGGTAGGGATATGCGTCTTAGAAGAGGCCTATTATAGTAACTGAGTCCCGTGGAGATCGCCCACTACAATAATAAATTGACAATTTTATTAGTACCTTTCTCGAATCACTCGGAATCAACGGGGTGACAGCCGTTAGAGGTCATATTTTTGTGACAAACTGATGCAAGGTGTTAGCACTCTTTCTAAATTGGGCCATTGCACGCAAAAAAATGAGGGATGAGTGGGTATTGCATAGAAACCGATTTCAGAAAAAGAAAACATGGTGACCTCATCAATCACGGTAGAAGATCTTCGTACGCTTCTTCAACTTTCCAACGAGCACCATCTCTCCTGATACTTCCCTCGGCGCAAATGATTCGCCTGCATTGTCCTTACAAGTCACGTTCTACCTCAGAAAGCTCATATTCAGGCATCTTATGCTTACTCTCGCTGGGCTGTACCTTTTTTTTTCATGGTATTTATTGCAAGTGACGTGGGAAACTTATACTACTTCGTAGTTGAAACTTCTAAAAAGTTGTGTTATACACGTAACTTGACCCTACGTATTTAAGAGGGAGCATCAAATTGGAATCGTTAATGCGTACTGAACGACCTTTCAACGACAATACTGTGAACATCCTGAGCTCGCGCAGCCCAGTAGTTAGGGGTGCTGTGCAATACACACGTAATTGATCCAGCGCCCTGTGTAAATAAAGCTCTCCGTCTCTCTTGGTCACCGAATTACTACTAAGACTAACCATAAAAATAGTAGATTGATTCATTGTATGCTACCATAGGTCATATAGGCCAGATATGCATTTAATTACTTCTACCATAGTATGAGTGCATTGTGGACACATAGAGAAATGATCAAACGAATTGTTTTTACTTTTTTACTACGAATCTTCGCATGAGATCGTCTATCTCATCCTTGAAACACTCAACAAGAATTAACCAATGACATGAAATTCCTCCAAGTTCTTACTTAGAACAATTTTCACCCTTTTGTTGTCGTGTTAACTTCATTGGTTTTGCTGATGCGGATCATTCGCATGAAGCGTTTTTGACCCAGTAGTAAAGTAGGAGTCTTCATCAATTGCAATGAAAGAAAAAGGAAAAATAGAACATTTAACCCTAAGAACAGAGCAGTGTCGACGATAATCTTAGAGTCAGGATTAAAGAAATAATGAATCGGTTTTCTATAATACTAGAGAGGATGTCGCACCTGCTTAGTTTTCAAACATCTAAAAGCAAATAGAATGTTTCTTTTCGCTGACCGAATTGTTGCAAACTAATTGCACGAGGTCGAAACAAAAACATGACACATTTTCACTTCTTAAAAGTGATGAACGAGGTCACTGTCGACTCGATTCACGCTGTCTAACGCTCGCTGACCTAGAATGGCATCGCGTCTACCACCCAACCCCATCATCTCAATTTTTCTAGAAGGTCTGTTTAATATTAGTAAAGGTTTTTAATTTACGGTGATCCTACTGCTACCTCATATCTGTCCTCCCGTTGACGGTCCAATGAGCGCAACTGCCTCCACCAAAGTCTCCATTTGTCCTTTCCGTACACAGGATTTGCAATTTGCGCGTTCTGTGTAATCGCTGAGCATTAATGCTTTCTTCTAGGGTCTTTATGAGAAACTCAGACTGCCATATCGGTGGCTGTTCTGATGTGCATTTGACATCCTGGAAAACCTAGTCGCTAACGCTTCTTGCTCATCGGTTGTCGGTCAGATGCATCACATGACCTACCCATCTGATTTTCGACATTTTGGTGTGTACAACGTCGTCTTGGCTTTTAGTTGCTGGTTACTTGTACCAACTATCGTCCCGTTGTCCGTCGAGTCATTCGATCGGGCTTCGGTAAATCTTCCATTTCTCCCTATTGCGTGCAGAAGTAGCCCAATAGGTTCTGCCCGCTCTATGGACTCATTGAACATTATTTCTTTCCTCTGATGTTTTCGTGGAAGACTATGACCATAGGGTTGGTGGTTTTCTTGCAGTACGTTTGACATCGTGAGAAATCCCCTTACTAACGGCCCTTGTCTATCAATTGTCGTTCGTACGAATTACGTGTCTAACGCACCATATGTCCGACAGTTTGACGTATAAAACAGTGGCCTTGTTTTTCTGATCTTTGACGTAGATCGGTACTTCGAATCCTTTCCCTCACTTATGTGACACAGAATACTCCAGTATCGACGTTTGTACTGCGCGTTCAATAACGCTGAGTGATCTTTTATCCTGCTTACGCTTCGACCAGGTTTCTGACGCATATGTTATATGTTTTACGAGACAGGAAGTACTGTTGAGTTGAAAAGGTGGGCATGAAGTCGGATGTTCTTTGTTTTTTCACTACATCTCCAATGCTTTTGAAAGCTTTCCAAGCCACTCGTTTCTTTCTAGTCAACTCAGAAGCTAAGTCGTTCAACGTGCTGATTTTCCGACCCACATAGACGTAGATGGAGCATTCGGAGACGTTGGTTCCGTTGAGCGTGAATGGGGCATACGAAACCAATCCGTTCCTCATGAACATCGTTTCTGTGGGATTTGATTTGAGACTAATCTTTGTACAGACTTTATCAAAGTTGGAAAGCATTCGTTCCGCCTGGATAGTGTTTGGTTAATGTTTTTCAGTGGTTACTGTTCTATGCCGTAAATTCAGACTTTTCTCTCACACCATAGAAAAGTTTGTTTCATTGTAGAACGTAAACTTTTGTAGTTTCATCGTTGATGTAATACATTGCAAAACAATAGCTTTACTGAAAGCAGTTACCAATGAGGACAGATATCCTCATTGGTAACTGCTTTCAGTACACCAGCGATCGAACAGTTGTCAACGGTATTCAAAAAACCAGCACGATCGCGACTGCATTGACTTCGTGATTTCTGAAGCTGAATTCAGTGAGAGCAATCAAAATTTCTACTCTTACTAGATTTTTTTTACAGAGTTTCACTTTTCACACATCAAATTTTCCATGAAATTCTTCATTTTCTATATAACTTCGCGACAGTAACACCCTTAATTATTTGTTTAGAAATACTTGACAATTGAACGGCCCGTCCTCACTGGTTGTACGGGCTCCAGCATAATCACCATTTATTGGAGAATTGCTAGTTAAGCTATTGTAGCTCCCTGGAATCCCGAGGCCAGCCTGGCCAGTCTGCACCAGGTCTTCACCACCACAGGCAGTCGCAGCCCTTGCGGATCAGAGGGAGATTTGCCAACATGCGACTTTGATACCAGGACGGTGGTGGACCCCAGTGTTGGTTTACTCTTAGCTAGGCTTCCTGGTGAAAACGTCGGACTCCTTCTCAGCTCGGGAGACCCTGCCGGGGGATGAATCTCCCGACTGCACATCGCAGCCCGACACCCAGGAACACCTCCTAGCCACGATGAAGCGGTAAACGTTCGAGAGGGCACTAGTTACAACATTTAAAAATAGAAGTTTTTATGAAGTTTTTTTCAATTTCTAATTTGTGGTATGATAAATTGATGACGTTTTATTGCTAAGCTGCTCTTTATATACTTCTTTATTTTCCCAATTCATTTTTTGTCTTGTTGTTATTCTGCAGGAGTTTTTACAATTGAAGTGCTGGTAATGGTAATCACTATTTATTCACTTAACAACACCTCCATTTCGATGCTTTTCTACAAGTGTTAGCACCAAATGGCATTTGAATAAAAGGGATGAGGCGTTGGGCGTTGATCAACTCCGTAGAGAACCACCATGCATCCGATTACATTCGTTGCATACAAAAGTGGGTAGAGTGATTGAATGCATATTTGGCGTTTACGAGGATTTATATGGCCTACAGATATATAAAATCTGGATTTTTATCGTCTCTATCAAGGCTACTACTAGTTGGCCGACATCCGAGGCATCCAATAAGCCGTCCAATATATTTGGTTAGTCTGAGATATTGGACAGAACTAAAGATCGGTCCAGTATGTGTTACAGGGCGCCTCTAACTAACCAATACGCTACATGAATCCCTCCAAATATATATTTTTAAGTGTTCTCCCTTTGTTACAGTATGCGGTTCGCTATCGTGATCCTAGTGACGATCTATACTGTAATGACATGCCATTTGACGGCAAAACTTCTTTCGAAAAGCAAACGTCCGCTGTGGGCTCAAATGAAATTTCCTAACGGAACCGAAAGTGATGTGTAAGTGTACCATGCAGTTTTTTGTCAACTTCTTCATTATCCATTGTTTTTCAACGTTTCCGTCCTTATATCACTTGTCTATTACTTATTTTTTGAAAAAATGACTCATAATTCGCAACCTATTTTCAGCTACGAGTTCGAAAGTAGCGATAGAAACTACACCATCACCATTTCGGAACCATATTGCAGTTTGAAGCCGACCATAGTCACATCTTATCTGACACGTCCTTCAACTGGTGTGGAACCTCTCGGAGCGACTTCAGCATTCATCGATGGGATGGGCTTTCTTGAGTATCTGGTAAAAATTTTCACCGTCATTGCGTTTAAATATTAATACTTAAAAGAACTACACGTTGTGAGAATAATTACTAACATTATTCGTAAGTTTGTTTTCTTCCATCCAGCTACTTGCCCATAGAACACGAAATAACATCTTTGTTCCATGTTTTAAAATGATCTCCAGAGAGCACACTCGATCTCCACCATCGTTCTTACTTGGTTTATCCGTTAAATCGCAGGATCCACTGACATCACAAAGATTATGCCCGTAATAGAATAATACAAATTGCATGCGAGGAAATTTCTCTCCTACCCATAAAAGTTGATGAGCACTTATGGTGAACACTTGCAAACGCTCTAGTATAGCTGTTCCAAGATTCCACAGAGAATCTACTCGACTAGCATTCCATGGCGTTCATGAAGAATGAGACAAAAAAGAATTCTCAATCTGAAACCGATTTGAGGCATGAGCTAGTGTAATTTTGTAGACAACAGCAACTACTTAACAAAATGAATGGAAGAAGTGTGCAACCAGTATGTGAGAGCTGGCTATCTAAATACCAAGACAGACAGAGTAATACTGACGCCTAGTGTATTCTCCAACTACAGAATAAAGGATAAAAGGATAAAGCTCTCGGCATTCATCAATCCCTGAGGGATGTGCCGTGCATTCAACTTCGTTAAGCATTATTTGGAGGTGATTGAATGCATATCTGCCCTTTACAATGACTGGCGATGGCGCACCGTTGTACCAAGCCACTGCTGCTATCCTCCCAGACAAGTCTGGTACCAAATTGCCGACTCCGGAGAGATGGAAGGCTTGGTGGGCCACGTGCGTCGGGATCGATTCCACGTGTGTCGCAGAGCGCCTCTGACCACTGCTCCACACGCGCCCCAATTATAGGAGGATATATAAAATGTACTCTCTGCAATCCATTTTTACTACACCGAAAAGAGACAAGAAAGGAAGCTGAAGTACAAGCATATTACAGGTTACCTGCACATCACAATAGTGCTCTTCAAAGCGCTGAATACACGACGATGCCATATTTTGTGAATTTCAAGGATTTTCGCGTGCGAAAGGTCGTGAACATTGCACAATGGAAAACTGCTACCTTAACAAATACCCGGCGAGATGCACTGAATTTAATGAAAGCCTCTCTTGTGGTGTCTGTTACCTTGTAGAACGTATTTATCGCACTGTTTGTACCTCATTAACAGCCTGATCACCACGCAGATTTTATATCAAGCCCGTAGAAATCTATTCTCTCCACTGGATAATTTACCACAAATTCATTTTCGGGCGAATTAGCTTTTCGACGACAGACTATTTCTGTTGAAGAGAGTATGCAGCATAGAGCTTTTGGTTGATAAAAGATGAGGAAATCTCGCTACTTGAATGCCAGCATTCTACACTTCGAGATGGAGTTTTGCTCTCATAAGATGTTAAATCTCTGAGGAAACTTCATCAGAGTGGTCCGATACTCTCAGAGCATTCGTCCATCAATATGTTTCAACATCGGCTGTCTTCTGAATTAATGACTAAGTTTTACTTTCTTTCTATTTTTGTGCATTTTATAACAAAAACAACATAACAAAAATTTACAATTTGTACACAGATATATCAAGCATACAGTTAATAATCTTTACATACAAGTCACTGTTCTTGACTATGGTAAACAATCATGCTTTCAATCACCTGAAGTTTTGATGAGTTGGAGGTAAAGACCGCGTCATGAACTGCGCCCATCATGGTAATAGGCCCTGCTCAAGTCGGCCTGTCATAGCCCTTTTTGTGTATAAACTTCAGCACCATTATAGAGCTTCTTCCTGTTGGGGTATCCATTGCTGACTTCGTTCAGGGTTCCCTTCCTGTTTTTCCTTCAGGCTCTGATTAGGCTGGTACTTCTGTTCAGTCAGTTGTCTGTCAAATGAAGAGTCATGTACGAACTATAGGTGTAGAGATGTTTTATTTTCCATGCATCAAGTCGTTCACGATCTTCTTTACTACATGGTACGCTATATCTGCACCTACGAAAGAGTCACTATCAGTGCGCACAAAAATTTTATTGGTGTAGCCAACTCTAAAGCTCAATTCTTGTAGCTTAGATCCGTAATTTTGCCTCTCATGTGCAACATAGCGGCAAAGTTTTTCTACTTCTAAACGGCAGTATACATGCGTTATATAACGGTCCTATCCTCGTCGCATATAAGTCATAACTACATACTTATATAAAAGTCGCTATCCTCGTACAGAGACTAAAACACCAAAGCCCAAACTTCTCGAGGCTTTTTGGATAAATTCCAAAAATCCGAGAATGAATATCAGGGAAGAGTGCCCTGAGACAACACGTTATCTAGCCTCGTATCTCAGAATTGATTTTGATGTGGGGGGTGCAGTAGTCAACAATATGCGACTCTAAGCGGCTGTTCTTCCTCGGTGGAAGGCAGGTAGCAAACAGTGGGCTTTTCGAGAAGCCGATGATCGTGTAATTATTGTTCAGATTTTCATCTCTTCAGATCCTGACGTTGCGAGGCATTGTGCTGCAAGACCACTCGCCATTGTCTCCACGAACATTTTCGTCCATTTTCCCTCATTCATTTCCGCTACGCCCTTTGACAGAAGGTACAACAAACTCCACGTTGTCCTCTACACTTCCAAATCAAGAACGTTGAAGAAAGACGACACTATAAAGATAGAGCTGAGGATAAAGATCGAAAAGAAACAAAAAGAATAAATCATCGGAAGGTGTAAGGATTAACGAAAACCTTACAACATGGCTCCTCGTATAACTGGTTCTTCTGAAGTGCCCTTAGGGAGTGGAAGAATTCCGTTTGTGGAGAACGCCAGCAATTCACTGATTTCGCCAATATTTAAACCTATGGATTGACCACAACCTGCCATTCACATGTATCCAGAGACGGTTACACCTTTAAGCCAGCATATTTCAGCTCATAATGAACTTTACTGATTGATAACTACTATAATACTGAGATATTTGCAAAACTCCGGACCGCAGGTGACTTTTCCCACCGCAGACACCTGCGGTACAGAGTTTTGCAAATACCTCTCAGCATTATAGCAGTTATATTTCGCAATATACCCTGCCGTTAAAAAGAATAGGCAGGAAGTAAAAAGGTTAAGATTTATTGATTGAGATAAAAATCATTGGGATCTAGAGAACCATGCCAAAAAGGTTAATTTTTTTTCGTCAAATTGCAAAAAAATTAGGATTTTTTTGAGTTTGGATTTGATACGCTCTAAAGTGAAGATTACACTGCAAAATAATCACCTCTTCTCTTCAAAGCAGTAGAGCAAGCTCCGCTCCATAATTATGTTAACTTGTCAACTTCATGAGTCTTCCATACATCTAAAATTCTCGGGAATTATTTGTAAGCCAACATTGTCCTTTATGGACGGCTTCTAAAGTTTAATTCTTGACTAGTTATTCAACGTTTTTTCATTTCCAACCTTAATGATGAGTGTTGGAAATCGCATGGAATAGCTGGATGCAAGATATACCGAAATAGGCTAAATATAAGCTGTAAGAGGCTTCCATATGCTGATAACAACAGATTTGGTAATTGGACTCTGGTGAAATGTGGCACCTTGTAACAATGTTATAGCCTAGACTGACCAAACAAAACAATTTCCCAAAGGGCGCAATGTGCCAATCCCGGATGGTCTCTGGTTATCGAAGATTTGTGGCAGGAGCCATAGAAAGCACGGAATGTGAGTTCAAACCAACGACCAGGAGCATTGCAAGCCGTTCCAAACTACTGCATTACACACGGCCTATCTCTTCTCAAGCTCTTAAAAGTACCTACTCAAAAAACTAAAAGATAAAATGTCGCTAGCCCTCTATAATTTTTTTTACTTTTATTTTATTTGATCCTTCTTCACGTCTGCTGTGCGCATCCCAGCACTTCTCACATACAATTCGTTTTCTCGCATACATCATCTGCGAATGTCTTCCAAATTTTTATGTGTGGCTTCGGTTTCCTGCTTGAGGATTCCCATTTCAACATTTCCATTTCCACAACATCAAATAGAGATAAAAATCAAGAGCCGACGTCACTACCACCATCTCCTTTCCCTAAAACGTTTTTTAGACGGCAGGATCCCAATAACGGAGTTGACATAAAATTCCGCGTGTATTCGGACGGCGTTCTCAAGACCCTTGATCACTACCGCGATAGAAAGTTTATCTCTAACCTTACAGCCGCACAAAAATGTGGCAAGCGGGAAATTAGAGAATTAATAAACTCGAAAACAATAAGATTGTCTGTTAGTGATAAGGGAGGAGAGTTCGTAGTTATCCCTCGCCAGCTGGATGTTGAGATAACAGAGGAACATCTTAGTGATGCTACTCTCTATCGCCCATCCTCTGAAAAGGAATATAAAAGTCAATACCGAAAGCTAAACAATCAATGGGTCAGCGTGGCAAAGGCTGCGGGTTTTAAAATCATCGGTTATTTCGCACTTTAAAATCGATAGACCAACATGTCCCGTCCTATACCTACTTATTAAAACACATAAGTTGGTATCACCTGATGATCATGCGTCAACCAATCCGTCATCATTTAAGGTTAGACCGATCATCAGCTGTGTAGACGGGCCAACGGATAGAATAACCTCGTTTTTAAGCCTAATGCTTACCTAGTTGCTTAACCACATTACAGCTCACCTCACAAACACCCAAATGTTCCTAGAACGTTTACGTAACGCGTCTCCTAATAACGCGTACGTGATGGAGTCTTTCGACGTTACCGCACTGTACACCAGCGTGTCGAATGACTCCGCAATGCAAGCCATCTTCGAACTTCTTGTTGAACATGAAGAAGGAATAAATATGCATGACTTGTCCATCCAGCAGCTAATGGCTCTCTTAAAGGAGTGCCTAAACTGCTCGATTTTCGGATGGTCTGGGAAATATTTCGCGACAATAAGGGGCTTGGCAATGGGACAGCGACTGGCACCAAGCCTTGCCATTGTGTTTATGTCTATGATAGAAGCCCCTGTTCTCGATCTCCGGCTACTACTCTTCTGCAGATATGTAGATGATTGTTTCGTCGTCTTCTCTACGTAGGAGGAGATGGACAAATGCTTTGAATTATTGAACGAGCAGTCCGAGTACATAAAGTTCACCCGGGAGAAATCGAGAGAAAACTGGCTTCCGTTTTTGGACGTCCAAATAAACCTATCAAGTAGCGGTTACCTGACAAAGTGGTATCGAAAGCCAAGTAACAAGAACATCCTTGTTCATTTCCT